CTGCCGCCGGCTGGGTGGGGCGGGCACCCACAGACCCAGGGGGGCTCGTCCTCCTCCTCCTCCTCCTCCTCCTCCTCCTCTTCCTCCTCCCCTTCCTCCTCCTCCTCCTACTCCTCTTCCTCCTCCTCCTCCTCCTCCTCCTCCTGCTCCTCCTCCTCCAGCCGTGCTGCCCCCTCGAGCGATTCATGGGGTTGCGAACGCGAGTACTCAGCGCGGCGACGCGTTCGCGAGCCTAGTTTGTTCGAATCCTTGCCAGCAAGCAGCCCACTGCTGGCTTCCCTCGCTCCCGCGGGAGCAGTCCATGGCCAATGACGATGATGTACTACTGGGTCCTCGTCGTCCTGAGTGGGCTTGTGGGCGGTGCGGAGCCGCCCACAACTGGGCCAGCCGCATACGCTGCCGATGTGGCAATGCGGCGCCCGCCCACATCCGCAGTCGAGCCCTGGAGGCGCATAATAAGCAGCTTGCTGCCAAGCCAGATTCTGGAGTTGGCGGTGGGAAAGGGAAAGGAAAAGGTGATGCCAGTATCCTACGTTTGCAGGCGCAGCTGGATGGATTGGTCAAAGCACTGGGGCAAGGCGCACCGCCTGGTAAGTCCGAGAGCAAGCCGAAGCGCGCCCCATGGTACAAGGATCAAGTCACCCGTGACCAAGAAGCTGCCGCCGCTGCACAAAGGGCTGACCCAGGCTCTGATGATGCTAAACGTGGTCGGCTGGTTGTGCAAGCAAATGAGTTGGAGGAGTCGCTCAGGAAGGTGCCTGAGGGTGCCGATTTTGATGAGCTACGCAATTCGATCAATACGAAGCTTGATGGCATACGTGAGAATATCAAAGGACTACGGAATCCGACTACAGCGCATCGGCGGGCCACTAATGAGTTGCAGCGTGCACGTCAAGCAGTGGCTCGCCAGACGAAGGGGTTGGAAGAGAACCAGAAGCAATTTGATGAGTTGCAAAAGTCGATTGAGGAGCGAAAGTCAAAGCTCGAAGCCAAGCGTGTGGAAGTGTCAGAGTTGGTTGCTGAAGTTGCTCGCACCTCTGCGCTGCTGGCCTCCGAGTCTGGTGAAGGTCAAGATCCTTCGCCTGAAGGTGTCAAGTTTGAGATCGCCAATGCAGAGGAGATGTACGCCAAGTACGAGAAAGTGCAGGCCTTCCTCAATAGTGCCGCCTGGGTGGAGATCCAGAAGAATATTCGTGTTGTGTACAGCGGCGGCGTTGGTGGGCGCGGCGATGCCGCGAGCCAGGATGCTTCAGGCTCCAATGGTGCAGCAGCAGGTGTTGGAAGTGGCGATACCGAAATGCCCCAGGCAACCCCCAGCGCCGACAATGAGAAGCGATCATATGATGGATTGGACGAGGCTAGTTTGCAAGCTGGCAGCTTTGAGGATTGAGGATTTGAGGATTTCCAAGCAAAGATCGGTGAGATGCAGGTCAAGAGGCAGCGTTGTGGGTAGCAAGTTTCCTACACCGTGTGTCACAGGTCTGCGACCGAGGGCGATTACTCCATCCCCGCCGTCGACTGTGACGGCACCATCGCATTTTCTGGAGATCTTCAATGCCAATGGTGGTAAGCGTACACTGAAGAAGCGATTGCAGAGGTCCAAAGCTATGGTTGTAATGGTGCAGGAGACGGGCCACCTGGAGAGTGAATTGGAATCGCTACAGTCTTGGATCAATGGACGTGGCTGGCAGATGGTGGCAGTGCCAGCACTTCCTTCGGCTGGAGCATTGCCTACAGCAGGAGTCGCCGTATTCGTCCGCAGCCAATGTGGAGTACGTACCCCTCCTGGCCTATGCGAGCAAGTGGTGCAACATCGAGTGCTACATGTGGTGCTGGATCTCCCAGGATGGCCGCCTGTGCATGCCGTCGGCCTCTACCTCGTACCAAGCATAGGTGCCACAAGTCTGAACGCCAAGTATTTGGCGGCTGTCGGCAGGCGTTTCAGCGGGGTGGAAGGGCCGTGCTTGGTGGGAGGGGATTGGAACATGACTCCCAGCGCTCTCGAAGCGAGTGGTTTCGGTGCTCTCGCTTGTGCTACACTTGTCTCGCCCACGAGCTATACGTGTCGTGGTGGGACGGGATCCTCTGTCATTGATATTTTTCGGGCTGAACGATCCGTGCATGCGATAATTTAAGGCAGTTAGAGTTGATGAGAGTTGATCAGAGTGAGAGGGGCCAAACGTCATTCACTGTCCCTGGGTGCGTGGCTGAAGTGGAATTCCGCGGTGCGGATTCTCGTTGTTGTTGTTGTTGTTGTTGCTGTTTGTTGTTGTTGTTTGTTGTCGTCGCCTTACCCGCAACCAGCCCCGCGACCCACCCGCGACCCACCCCGCGACCTACCCAGCGACCCACCCCGCGACCCACCCGCGACCCACCCGCGACCCACCCCGCGACCCACCCCGCGACCCACCCCGCGACCCACCCCGCGACCCACCCCGCGACCCGCCCGCGGCCCACCCCGCGACCCACCCGCGACCCACCCGCGACCCACCCGCGACCCACCCGCGACCCACCCCGCGACCTACCCCGAGACCCACCCGCGACCCACCCGCGGCCCAAACCACGTTCAAGGTACAAACCACCATTTTCGGCGCCTGCGGCCGGTTTTTTTTGCATTCCTTCCAGGTGGAGAGCCCGCGACCCACCCCGTGACCAACTCGCGACCAACCCGCGACCCAAACCACGTTCAGGGTACAAACCACATTTTTCGGCGCCTGCGGCGGGCATCTTTTGCGTTCGTTTCAGGTGGAGAGCCCGCGGCCCACCCGCGACCGCGTTCAGGGTATAAACCACATTTTTCGGCGCCTGCGGCGGGCATCTTTTGCGTTCGCTTCGGGTGGAGAGCCCGCGGCCCACCCGCGACCACGTTCAAGGTACAAACCACATTTTTCGGCGCCTGCGGCGGGCATCTTTTGCACTAGTTCCCGGTGGAGAACCCGCGGCCCACCCGCGACCCAAACCACGTTCAGTGTACAAACAATTTGTGTTGGCGCCTGCGGCGGGCTGCTTTTGCATTCATTCCAGGTGGAAGTGGAGAGCCCGCGACCCACCCGCGACCTAAACCACGTTCACTGAACAAACCAACGCCGCACAAGCGCAGCGGCGGATTTTTGCATGCCGTCTGAGCCCGCAAGGACCTCTTCAAGCCCCGCGCATCCTCACCAGCCCGTCCAGCAACTCTGCCCTGGCGAGTTGCCTTGGTCAGAGAAGGCGGGGAGCATAAAGTGCAAAAAAAGATTGCGTTGCAGTTATATTGGGAAAGGAGGGGGAGGCAAGAGGAGTAAACAGGGGACGAGGAGAACGCGGAAGAAGAGAGGATGTAAGGAGAATGTGGAGAAAAAAAAAGGAGGAGCAGGAGGACGAGGAGGGGGAGGAGGGGGAGGAGGAGGGGGACGAGGAGGGGGATGATGATGATGATGATGATGATGATGATGATGATGGGCGACAATGGGAGGACGATGATGGAGGCCGGTGAGGGGGAGGACGACAATGGGAGGACGATGATGAAAGGACGAGGGGGGGAGAGGGAGGACGAGGAATAAGAGGAGGAGGAGGAGGACGAGGTGGAGGAGGAGGATGACGATGACGATGAGGACGAGGACGAGGACGAGGAAGAGGAGGAGGAGGAGGAGGAGGAGGAGAAGGAGAAGGAGGAGGAGGAGGAGAGCGCCATCGACAGGGAAGGTGGGGGCCACGAGGTCCGCCGGCTCGACGACGCCCGCGTCGCCCACGCCCGCCCCCTCACTCTTATGCGCAATTGCGGGGTGCTGCGTAAACAGTGGACGGTTCGTCCGCATAGGCCAGTCATCTTAGAGCTTGCGGGTAATGGCCATGGTATCCAACATTTGGTTTACACGGCCGCTCCCAAGCTCCCAGTCACCGCCCCAATAGGACCTCAGCCTGCTCCCCCTGATTGGTCGTTCGTCGAGGATCTCGTCGGTCGATGTTCGGAGTTAGCTCATGACGAGCAGGCTGATCCTGGGGTTGCTGTCGGTGTTTTAAGCACTGCCTGGGGCCACTTTGCTAAGAGAACTGCCAGGTACGTAGCTGAATGCACTGGCACAGGTGCTACGAACTTTGCAGGCTTTGGTAGAGATATTGCCCCGAGGTGGGTCAGTGTTGATTATCATGTCCCCAACATCTCGGAGAAAGTGCAGCTGGCCGAAGGTTGGGCTTGGTTGCGCAACGCAGTGCAGACCCTTCTCCAGATGTCCTCACATGATGAGGACGCGGAGCAGCAAGTTCTGTATGACAATGAAGTTGCCACCTTTGCTGCTGATGACTATCCTGGATTCGGTCTCAGCGCTAGGTTGGATAACTCCTGTAAGCAGGCACGTAAATTGTTTGATGAGCATTTGGACACAAATGCTGCGCTCGAGATCTTGCAACTTGCAACAGATTTCTGACGATGTCGAGTCCTCCCAGAAGGCTGCCAATCGAGAAGCTGATGTTGATTGAAATGACTGGTGTGAGACAGCTAGTGTCGGGGGAGCCAGGGGCCTACATCGGATCACTAAGGTTCGGAGCGATCCCCCCCCACACACACACACACACACACACACACACACACACACACACACACACACACACACACACACACACACACACACACACACACACACATACACACACATACACACACATACACACACACTGTTGTTCATGATCCTCTAGGCCCCGCGGCTGACCCCCACAGTGTAGTTCAGCACGAGGCTCGGGTTTTCAAGTTGCTCTGGAAAGCTGAAGCGATTCCCCCACAGGCTAGGATTCCCGACAGAGAGCCGTTTCCTGTTGCGAGCGTTGAACAGATTCGCAGAGTCATTCGGTCCTTTCCTGACGGCACGGCAAGATCTCTCGATCAACTGCATCCCCGTCATTTTCAGCTGTTAGATGACAGCGGTCTCAGCGTCCTTGCAAAGTTGTGGCAGTGTTGTGAAGCCCTGGGCCTCTTGCCACGACAATTGCTCTGGGGTTTAATGCCTATGCTGCCTAAGCCATCC